GGCATTACCGCTAGAGCAGTTCCCAACTCGGGCTCATTATTGTAGAGCTTCGCGGAATCAAACAAGCGGTAACCATTGCTCAATGCCGCATCTACAGTAGGTTTTACCTGAAGTTCGGTTTCGTTGACATAATACTTATATAAATGGTAATCCTTTTTGGAAAGTGCCACCGGTGTGACAGGAAATCACCCGGTTTTGTAGTGCACTCACCGCATCTGCTGTGACTTTGTAAGTTCCGAGACCAACTAGTGGGATATAGAAGCCCGTGTTGAGTTTAGCAGAGCCTCCACGTGCTGATTGCAAAGACGACGACATTCCTAAAAGAACAAGCAAAGATTGGAGAAGCCTTCCACACCGGCAAAGCAACCTATCAAGAGACATAAGTGAGCGCTCTCCAAGATTTCACCCAGTTTCCTTGCCTTATTATACTTTTCACACAACAGAGTGAACTAGGGAATGAGATGAGGAGAAATGAAGACAAGCAGTACGAAAACTAATAACAAAAGGTGTGATAAGAGAAGATGGTGGCGGTTTATTCTTACGCTTAGTCGTCATCATAGAAAGTCGCCGTTGTTATAAAGGGAACTCATCCACTTGGATTGCCCAGCTTGAGGAAGTGCTTGGTAAACACATTAATGCACCGGTACTCCATACGTAGTGATATGGTGATGTACGCTCATGGTTACGAAATCTTGATCTGGAGCCTTGGACTTGATGAAACGTTCTCCTTTATGGTCACTTCACGTTTATCCCCATCTTATCATATCTTTGTCAATACCGTCCCTTTCCTAAGTCTAATTAAGGCTGAGACAGAGTCATTTGACTGTAAGCTTTTAATGGTAGCAACTGATCTTATCAACTGATAATAACACCATCTACAGAGGCGTCATCCAAACTCAATGTTTTTCTGGCTATCAATCTTTGTTGACGTATTCAGATTATTGGTGATCGATAAGTGTTTCGCCGCACCGAGTTGATAAATTAATAGCAAGGAATGAGCCTAACTTCGTGTACAACTCCATCACACCGCATATGACCTAATGAAGTGCCAAGGTCTCATTTTTTAAACGAATAGCGTCGTGAACCCGATGGCTTACACCTTCTGTGGCCACTTATCAGCTCCTATCAATCGTTATCACCTCCTGGTATTAAAATCAGTCTTCCCATTTTTGCCGGTTATGAACCCTATAGGTGCAAATGAACAATACTCAAAAAACAGTGGTCAAGAACACACATCGAGACACATACACCAGCACAGACATAAGCATAAATACACACATATATGTACATACCTTTCAGTTGGGAGTGGCACTTGAACTCTAAGGCCCCTTACCAGCTCTTAACAGTTGTTATGTTTCCTGTCTGCTATCGTCGGTGTTTCCGACCTGCCGCCTGTACTCTTTTCGAATTTGAACGCACTTCTTCCAAAGGAACAGAAGTTAAGAATATCCAGCTTAGCAAGCACAAACATTGTCAAACAGCTTCACCCACGCACACGCAGACACCGTTTTTTGTTTACTAGGATAGTAGGGTGCTGTAATCTATGCTGGGTTTGCGATATCAATTTCGTTACTACAACATAGATCGCCTGACCTTTTTTCAGCGCCCTCCTCATTACTAAGAGTGACGGTAATCGCTGTTGACTAATGATAACAACATTGCTCCTACATGTAATGCAGTTATTTATGGTACCAATGTTTAGGTTTTCCGAAGTAACCTAAAAACATGGAAATGGACCTAGTTTTTAACTTTCGGGTTCATTCAAGTGCGAATGTTGGAGGTTCGGTTCCTCGATGTTGTAGCTCCATGCTTACGGAGACCATAAATGAACAACGGGACCACATAACATAGGTATTAGTGTTATCACATATTGTTCAGCTGTTGCATTTGTGACAAGCTCCCCAGTTTTTGGGCCAAGTTTGTAAAACTCTTTTCTCTTTTTCTAGAGTTCTGTTCGAGAAGTGTAGAGACAAAAGTGTAGTCTAAATAATAAGTGTCAATGACCAAAAAGCACAACTCACTTACTTCGTCAACGTCTTGCTTTCAGAGATGGAGGCATGAATATTTTCGGAGTTGCAAACTAACGATAATCACAGCGCCGTGATATCGTGATAAGGTATATAATATCCGTATACAATATACATAACATAATACAATATACATAACATTTCTATGACCAGTGCCTATGCTGGAAGTTCAAACAACAGGTAGCGATGGAATAGCTTTTACAATAACATCGAAATCAAAATAGGTCAACATCCATAAGACTTCTAAAGCCTGCCAAAGTTCACATTATGACACCGTGTTTGAGTATAACACTTTTGAATCTTGGGACTTCTTTTATGATCACAGCACTGAGAGATCGTTCTTCGCGAAGGGACGCAAGCGTTTCAAAATTTTCGCAGTGTCACTCAACGCTTGAGGCATTCCAATTTTCAATTATTTCCAACATAGATCAGGAAACTTGAAAGTAAGTTGAAATCCCAGAACAATAGCGTCAATCCATCCATTACCGAAAGGATGTACCAACTAGAAAAAAGTGAGACCGCTCGACCGTCTACTTCTCATTAATAGACTATCAGAGCTCACGCAGTGGGATGAAGGCAAGAGGTCACCCAGTCGTGTTGACGCGCTTATCCTTGTTATTTATTCTACTGTTTTGGTGCCTCATCCGGAAGCCTGTGAGACTAATACTGTGCTCGCAGGCCACAAACGTCAAACACACATCCATCATAATTTTTTATTCTGTACTTGCCTAGCAGTGCAATCAAGCTATTCTTTCGTTTACTATCCGAATACGCTTTTTTCGTACGCCTCCTCTGATTCCCCCAATATAGCATTACATGTGAAACATTGAACATTCTATGATGTGGTTCCAGTCATAGAAACGATTTCTAACCAACTGGTATTTAATGTTGTTAATGTTGCATCTTGGTAGGCTAGCCAAGAAGATGCTGAAGGCTAGATCCTCCCTTCTTAGCCGTTGCAGTATAACTGCTCCAAACTAATCTGAGATAAATGGTAGCCGATGACATAACTTGTTTTCTCTACGAAAGGTCTGTACTTCGCGCTGTATGTCCCACTGATTACCCTTAACTTATTCAGGGACAGCGACCTTCTTTCACTTGTGATTCTCGAGGTTGCTTGATGTACTGCCATCGACTGATAAGAATGTTGAACAACACATCCATTCCGGATTGAGTTGAAGTTACAATGAAACAGTCGTCAAGGTCAAGGACATATTTTTGTCGAGCGCTCCGTACTTGGCTTCCAATTCTACCCATTAAGCAGACAGCGAAAACCGTGCAAACAATTATGGTGATAGCCTAAAAAGCTATCGGAGGCAGAGATTATTAGCATGTTTTGGAATGATACTGTTGAGATTTCTTTGAACGTTTATATGGGTGTTGGGGAATTGCTCAAAATTTTACATTGATTTCACCCAAAAACAAATTAGGATAGAGCAGTACTATTATGCGGTGATATTTTTCAGCTTTCAATACCTTCTCCAGCTTCCCTGTTCATGCACTCAATGTGTGCTGATGTCGTTGATTTCGATGTTTTTCAGTCTAGTTTATACGGCCATCTTATAGAGTTCGCCCGTCTTCAAATATGTAATAGTTATCATGCGATTCACGACAATCTATCTCTTTTGGCTGTAGCAACTGAATACACAGCTAATTTTGCATGTAATGAAAAGGTTTATAATCCAAATTTCATTGCTTTGTGAAATCATTAAGTGATGTTTTGAAGAATGTTTCTTGAGATAATAGAGTAGAATTCGCGATGAAGTTGTCTGAAAAGAGCAAAACACTAGATTTTTCTAATAGATCAGTCAAAATAAAGCTAGGGTTTTGAGTTGTTCTCAGTGGAATTGAAGCATTTTCGAAGTATTCCTTCTACGCGAGTCGGAATTCCTATCACATGGTATATAATGCTTTCTGGTAGGTTGACTCACTTAGTCTGGTAAAGAAAAAAAGCACACCGGCAAGTGCCGGAACCTCCTCCCTCCTGGACCTAGAGCCTTCACATTTATAAAGGACAAAGACGGCAGAATGAAAACACCGACGGTAGGTTACGAGAAGTGACTATACTTGATAGGAACTGATAAGGAGCCCTACAGGGCAAGAGTAGCAGGACGACCTTTGCGTTAACGTGCAGTCCTGGCACTTAAATGGTTGATGGAATGGATTGTAAATAAAAAAAATGAAGTAAAGAGTTCTTGAATGGTTGGTAGCAAAGACTGTTACAGGCTGATAAGGGCTGATAAGAAATAAAGAGAAGGCAAGGGTTACTGTGATGGTTATGCCCTCCCGTTAACAGTGAAGCATTGCCACCTCGGCGACTGATGTGGGATAAGACAGGATCGTGAATACCTCATGGCAAAAACTGTTAGCAAGTGATAAGGTCCGAGCAGCTATAGATGGCTGAAGCCACTCAGTCTGTAACCCCCTTCGTATTTGTGGATCATTGGCGCTCGGGCGTGGGATGTACCGAAATCGTGGATACTTGGTGATAGGGCAAAATAAATAAAGAATCACCATGCTAAAGGAGTTCTTTCCATTCCATTTTTTGGTCACTTCTCCTTCGATGTTGAAGGCCTAGTGCGCCCTTCCCTATCACTCTTCAAATTTCTTAACTTAGCACCAATTTGTTTCTCTTTATTGTAGGCCCTTGGAAGCCTTTCTGCAGAATCGATGCTCTTCGTTTTTTCTCCAAAGCTAGCTTTTTTTCTTATTTCGGTAGGGGCGGCATCTCTTGATTTCTCGTCCGAATCGCTGCTTTTTTGAGCCTCCTCAGAACGAGTCGTTTTGCTAGCTTCTTTCGAGCTGATTCTCCTTACTTCTGGATAACTTTGCCTGCTTTCTCTAGCTGTTTTTAAATTGTCCTTTCCACCTCTGGTCTGTGCTTTTCCTTTCCGAGGGTTCTTTACATTCTGCTCGAGACTAACTTCTCTTGATTTCTCATTAACACTTTTCTTTCTTTTTGGTCTTTCTTCAGACGTGCTGCTTTTTGATTTATCATCCGACTCGCCGCTTTTTGGGAGCTCTTCTGAAATATTAGAAGTATTCCTGCTGCCTCTCCTCCTGTCAGTGCTGGTATCACTGCCTTTCGTCCTCCTATCAGTGCTGGTATCGCTGCCTTTCGTCTTCCTATCAGTGCTGGTGTCATTATCGATGGCTACCTAAAACACAGTAATAAAACCTTTGATGTGAACATGAGGAAGGAAGGGATATGTGAAGAGTCAGATGTAATTCATACTGGTAGATTGATGTTCAATGACTTTTTTGCGTACAGTAGAGCACAACATAGGT